TCGAGTCAATAACTTTTCCAGTTTTTTGTGGTAAAATTAGGTGCCTCGGCTTATATTCGGGTCGGCCTATACTCGAGTATATACGGTAATACTTCCCATCTAGTCTGTTGAAGTATTGATCAACACTTTTTGAGCACACTTCTTCAGCTAGCTTTGTATGCTTTTCAGCTAGCTTGCTGTCATGACATATAACCTAAATTTAATTAGGTTATTTACCTGAATGTTAAAGGATACTTTAACATATTATTACCTGGAATTAAGATATCCATGGTATTCCCATCATTTATTAAAAATGTTATCCAACAAAAATGAGGTGTTAATTTCATAGAACTTTTTGAAAACAAAATCTTCTGACTTCCAATTAAAACTGCATTGCTTTCAAAAGTATGTAGAGATATACTGCTTTATGATATACTATAGAATATTCCTAGGTATTAGTATCAGATTAACTAGCTTGTAATAGCTGGAATCCTCCTCTGACGATAGAAAAAAAAAGTTTCTCCCTGTTTGGCATTTTATTGATACTCTAGGATTGCTCAAAGACAATATACTGTATATAGTACTTGTCTGGAACACTACCAAGTTTCTTTTATATCCTGGGATGCAATTTATCCCACTCATTCAACATAGATACAGTACTGTATTCCCAGATCATTTTGTTGCCAGCCTCAAGCTGCAATTGTAACCCTTTGTCCTACTCTTCACAACTGCCTAGTAGGGCAGGCAATCCCTACACTTTTGTCCCTACAGTTTTGTCAGAAAATATTTTGACCCTTTGTTCATTACTTATTAGCACTTTGTATTTTATCGAACAAATTACTTATTAAATTGTTTTTATCAAGTTACTTTATAGAATCACTTTTAAAAGCCCAATAAAAAAGGAAATACTCTGAAAACTAAGATCTATCTAGTCTTACAAGAAGCAAAAGAAAGTATTATCTCTGCAAATCAGTTCAGTAAAATACCTGAAATAAAACTTTTCTAATACATCTATTTTTATTTCTGACTATGCTTACATTGTGTTCCTTTCTTCCAACCTTATAGAGATTCTAACAGATTACATCACACACATTTATTTCCTTAAGAAATACAATAAAACGGAACAGTACAACAGTTCATTTTAAAAGCTAAAATACATTTTAAAAGTCTGTTTTCAAAGTCACAAGCTCAAGACAGTTTTAACATAGAAGTCCTGTCAATCATCCCACCAAAAAGCAATGGAACAAAGAGCAGATTCGCACAAGACTGCCGTAGAAAAGTTTCACTCGTTAGTAAAAGATTCCTATAAGCCACAAATGAACTCTTAAGAACTTGGCTCGTGTGATTTTATAATTACATGTCTGCTCCAGGCAGTTTGGGTATTCCACCTCTTATATTTCTCACAGGAAGATGATGTTTTATGAAAAGAGACAGGCCAATGTGGGAAGAGGATGTTTGGGATGCTAAGGACACAGTAATGCCCACCAAGAAACCCAGAAAGAAACACCCTTGGAAATAGAAGAGCAAAACAAAAGCATCTCAGTCATTGCCAGATTGCCTTGGACATTCCGTAGAGATGGTTAGGACTGTTGCAGAATCCACTGCTAAGATCAAAAGAGGAGGCCCAGGACCTGAATCTTGCACATGACCTGGTCCAGTGTCAGAAGCTCAATCAGGGCTACATATACTCATAGGTGTGCATATGAATGGCAGCATAGGAATGAGACTCTTTCTTCCCTCTCCAAGTTGCACACAACACCCAAGGAATCATGCTTGACTCTTGAGAATCCTTGACCAGGAGAATTACAGTTCATTTTTCCAAGCAATATAAAAACAAGCTTAGGAGGGGGAGGATGCATTTGCCTTTAAAAATGTGCCAAAAGCCATGTGCATAGTTTCCACGGTTATTCTGAAATAATATTATTGCAGGTTCCATAATCTAATCACAACTTTCCATCCTATCACACCATTTTTCTAATATTTCTTATTTCCAACCCCCCCTTGGAACGAATATTTAAACTCTCGGCTCATATTCTATTTAATCTCTTACGAACACAAAAATATATTCCTTTTAATAATCTTGCTATCAAGTTTTTTTCTTTTATCTTATCTTTCTCCCAGGAGCTCAAAATGGCATTCTCAGCATTTCTGAGATAGCTTGGGTTGAGAGAGAGAGCAACCACCTAACAAACATGCAGTGAGTTTCCATGGCTTAGCATCAGTGGTGGGTTCTGGATCCCGTTCCAACCGGTACATGTCACCCACATGGACGTGCGTGGTGCGCACATGCATCGTCCTTGCCTGCGACACTTCCGCAAGCCTCCCCGATGCTCCAGCTGCTCGGCACAGCGTTGCACAGGCGCTGTATGCGTCATGCACATGCGTGGAAGCGCCAAAGGCTTAAAGGACAGGTAAGGAGCTCGGGCGGGCGGGTAGGCCTTCCGGAGCACCGGAACGGCACCCGGTGCTCCCGGCAGGCTCCAGTACACCCATACGGGGCATACCACCTGCAACCCACCACTGCAGAAGCCTGGAACTTTCTGATCCTACTTCACCACCCTAAACTCTTTACCACGTAGGCTCTCTTTCAAATAACCAATTAAGAAATCAAAAATAATCATGCTTATTTATCCTGAACATACAAGTAAAGTCTTTGTTACAGCTAGCAGTAAACTGGCAAAATGTTTAACAACTACTGCACTCTAACCACTGTGCCACCGCTGCTCTTGTACATATAATATACATATTGTTGCTCTTTTAACAGTGATTTGATTGTTTCATACCTCATTATTTGGATCTTGAATAACTTTATATAGAGCTGGCACTAATATTTTCTTCCGATGAAGTGTTGCTGCATAATTGGAAATCTGCATTTCAGGTAATACCTAAAAGAAAAAAAAACAGAAGCAAGAAGAACATGTTCCACATCAAAAACTGGTTTGAATTTTCTTATCATGGTTCACTGAACAAGCTATAGTGACCTAAATTACATTGATAAGATCCATACATCTCACTAAGCAAAAAGAAAAAACAAACAATGCACATTTTGGCTTAGTGTTATTATGTACCTGGATCACCACTGTAAGCTCGGAAAGAAAATATATCTATAAATCCTTAGAAAGCTATTGCAAAGGAAGAAGTGTGTGTGTGGGGGGGGGGGGAGACAGTTATATCACACAAAATTTCTTAGATTTAGCAACCAAAGATTATTAAACATTATTACAACATATTCATCTTTTAAAATTCTCACCTTGAATTCTGATAGCCATTCCTCTACCACACCACGTTCTGATCCAAGCATTTTCATAAGACTTCTATTTTTTATTACCTTCGAGGAGAAAAATATTAAAAGGGAATTAGTGTCTCAATTACGTAATATTATCTCTGAAAGTCCATATATTCATCATCCTATTGGGCAACATTTTAGCTGGCATTACACTTTTAAATAGGCCTGGGGCAGAAAGGGGATAGCAAAAGAGGACCTGTATCGATAATGCAGTTCATAGTTAGTCTCTTTCCAAATACAAGTACCAAGAAAAGTTAGTTAGACCAAACTGAATTGTATCATGGAAAAAAATGTGGCATCTTCTAATAATAAATCCAGCTATGGTATAATGGATTCAAACAAGGATGGTACAAAGATTTCATAAATATAGTATCATTTGAATTCAAGAACGTTTAGTTGCTGATGAGCAGTTATAAAACATCTACTAAATAAATATATGCACTAAAAGAAGTAGAAGCAGGTCAATTACTTGGAAATCCATATATCAATAATTCAGAAAAACTCAATAATTTATAAACCTTCTTCAATTTAGCAAGATTATTGCTAAAGCTATTGTTTTTTTGATATGAATGTTTTTATATTTATGACATTTACAAGAGCCTGGTTTATTTTTCAACTACAGCTGAAAGAGGTAACATATTGTGTTTATATTTATTTATACTATTCTCATACTTCTTCTAATTTAGTCAAAAATAATTTAACAAAAGGAAAATATATACCAAGAATATAGAATTAGCTAAGATAAAACAGGACTTGTAAAACTGATTTTCATGCCACATTATTCTGATTAAAACTGTCTTGGGTTAAAATCCATTAAATTATCTTGGCCTGCAACTATAAACTCTGCAAAGAAAGGGTTAGCCTTTAACATTTAGGAACATTCATGTAAAATTACAGTATAATTCATATGTTTAAAAGAGAAAATAATTTTTGTAAATTCTCCAATTTTACAAGGTACTGGAAAGTATGCTTTATTCAAAATTTAATACTGAATCATTCCATTTCTTCTTCTTCACATGTGGAAGGAAAAACATGTTAATCTGAACATACTGTTTGTGACCCAGCTAAATTCCAGATAGGTGGACCAATTCTCAAAGGCTGCTGCTCTAGCTGGGAGTTCTCTTTACGAATCTGTAAATGTAACTACAAAAGGCTGCTCAGCTTTGTACTGATCAACTACTGTATTTGCATTCTATTTAATCTTTATTTTAAATCTTCCTATTTTTAAAATAACACAGTGTTTTTCCTATTTATTTTGCTTGCCAGAATATCAAACAATAGTAGTTTTAAGGGACTAGGCTGCACAAGTAGATAAAGTTTTAGCAAGATAGAGTAAATTTCTTTTTGGCCAGCTCAATATTTGTAAACGTCTCATTTGGTAATAAGTGAGAGACCGCATGGCATTTCCTTGTTGTTCGGGACTATATTGTTGGCTGCAAGGAGTTAACAGGAAGATCTGTTACATGCTGATGGCAGTGCATGGTATGAAAAATTTCCCCTTCTCCTAAGCTAACTTCCTTAACCCAACTTCCTCCCAAATTTCCTAGATCCATAAATGTTTATGCATACATCTCATCACTTGGCAACAATCTGAACAAATTACTTGTAAAACTTAAATACTATCAATTAAATCATTTAATGTCATCATTAGCTAGTCAAATCCAGTAAAGAGGAATCAAATAATATTTGATCACTAGTTTTGAATACTTTTTAAGAAAAGAACGCTGGAGAGTATTTGCTTTATCACAAATAGATTGCCATTGTGGAGGCCTTGGTGCTCCTTGAGCTTGGTTATTTAGGATATTGTTTAGTGATTGATTATTTGTCTGGTATTAATCCTCAAGATTAACAATTCCTTAATCAAGGATTTACCTAATTAGACAAACAATCAATGAACAACAGCCTAATCAAGGAACTACCAAGGAGAAAACAATAGCAATAGCAATAGCAGTTAGACTTATATACCGCTTCATAGGGCTTTCAGCCCTCTCTAAGCGGTTTACAGAGTCAGCATATCGCC